TTAGTTGTGCTCTATAAAGTTTCAAATGTTGAAGGTCTAACTACCAAGGGAAATATATTTAGAGATACGGTCTCTATGGAAGTAACTAAGGTTAAATCTGAAGGTCATAGATGTTGATCATAGTCTCACAGAATTGTCTTTATGAGAAGAGAAACCAGAAAGCTTGTTTCTCTGTGCAGTGAAGTTACAGCACTGAGGTGACCTTCTGTAAGCTAGCAAGAAAGTCTTCACTACAAAGTGCTTCTGCTGGTGCTTGATCTGGGATTTCCAGACTCCAGAACTGTGAAAAAATAAATTGCTCAAGTTGTGAGCTGGCCTCTCAGAGTATTTTACTTTACAACCCTTGATGAATAATACATGGTGTGACTGCCTTATCTCAAGATCCAGAACATCATCATGTTTTTTTCCACAGGAGATACTGACAGATCTTCTTCTGGGGACACTGATATCCACGTGAAGGCTTCTACCATAGTCACTCTTTTTGGCCCTCATCACCCTTGAGTAAGACAGAGTTCCCTGTTTATTCAAGGACACAATAAATCTTCAAGAAAGAGCTGCCTAACTGATAGCAAATACTACTTTACCTTCAGCTTTCCCATCACAAAACAAATGCGGCATCAACAAAAGTGCAGTGAGGTGTGAAAGGTTTTTATCTCATTGGAGAGAAAAGCAGGAAGCAGAGGTCCTGCAGAGACACGTGTGGATTGATCAGCTCTTTTATTTAAGCATTTATCCTAGATTGGAATCCCCTTTTCCTTGTCTGCAAAATGTACTGTCTTCCGGGAGAGTCACTTGTCATCCTGGTGTTTATTCAATAGATTATCTAAGGCTTAGTTTTCTTTCCTTGTTTTTTTTTTTTTTTTTTTACAACAACCATTTCATTGACAGAAACACCTGTACAAAGTATTACATTCATTGGGGTTAAAAGCAATCTCTTCTTTTTAATTAAATAGTATGTTTTTAAAAATTAAATGATTTAGCTTTTGATGCATTGGTGCTCAAATGGTAAAGTAATACGTAATTTCCTCTCATTGCTAAAAGGTAATCAATGTATGTTCTTTTAATCCTGAACCTAAATTGAGGTAATTTTAGCATTAAATATAAAATGTAGAAAGCCAGGCACCTGTGTAATTTAATAGATGACCACAGTTGTAGGTTTTGGAAAATTTACAAAGGAGAAAAAGTGTATTATCTTTCTTTCCGTCTGCTTTATGTGAAGTTAATAGTAGATGAAGCCCCTTTTCTCTTCCCTCAGAATAGGTGAGGCCCACAAGATAGACACACACAGACAGATAACAAATAATATATAATAATATATAATTAAGCAAGCATTCAAATGTATCCATCTGATAAAGAATTACACCTTCAGAAATACGTCAGACATCCTAAGTAGAACTGCCCCTGAGGTACTGCAGCTCTGCTAGATTCTCCTCCTCTCGGTCCCGTGGTAAACCAGTGTGTCAGGGCCAACACGGTGCTGTCAGCTTCACCTTCACTGTCTGGCTACTTGCATCATCCAGACCTCCCCGGTTGCAAACAGGAAACAGTGGCTTCAACCATGATGAGTGAAAGAGCTTTGTTGGTGGAACAGCAGGAGCTCACAGGATGAAGGAGAGGACAGATGAATCAAACCCAGACGGAAACCAACTTTGCTCCCCAAAACTGAGACGCACAGGCCACCAGAAAAGATGCGTTTGCAAATAACTGAGACAGGAATCCTGCCGTAAGGAGATAGTCAATCACTGTGGCCTTCTTTATCTGCACAGTTAAACTTCAATGATGCAGCTAATTTTGTGCTCATATCTTGAAGAGAGCAGGGGATTTGATACACTAGGAAACACTGAAGATATTCCAAGCTGGGGGCTGGGGATTTAGCTCAGTGGCACAGCGCCTGCCTGGTAAGCGCAAGGTCATGAGTTTGATTCCTGGTATCAGAAGAAAAACAAACAAACAAACAAACAAACAAAGATATTCCAAGACATGCCAAAAAGGCAGGCATAGTAAAGGCATCAGCAACTACCTGGAGAGTAGAAGGAATGAGGAACATTTCCTGAGAAGAAAGTGGGTGCTCTTTAGCATCAAGAACCATGCTTTTCTGTCTTTGATTGCAGTTCCAAACACAATTCTGTTATAGAATTTTGCACAATTACAGTTTATTGACTCATACTTCTAAAAGTAATTAAAATTGGCAAATTTTGGAAAGCTCTGAAGAATGTTTTCAGCCCTGAAAAACCATCCTCTTTGATCCAGTAGTGACACTTAATTCTTATCTTTTTTTTGTCCTAATAAATATAAAGAAATGATGAAAGAAAAATGTGAAAAGTAAATGATGACACATATATACTAACCTTCAAGGTAGAGGTGTGGAATAAGGATGCATATCTTCCATTTAGGAGCTTCTGACCCAGTATTTGGGTTAAATATTGGAAGCAATGATGAGAATAATGTGTGTTCTGGTGCCAAAGGGGTTGATGTTCATAACGATATTATCTATATAATCCAGAGTGGAAAACTGCCAAAAACTTCAACCACGATGCATGTTTCACTATAGCCATTATATGAGTTTTTGTACCTGTAAATTTTAGATACAAAACATGTAGTATGGCAGCATTTTATATTAGATGGCTAAACACAGAATAACTATGTCTTGGCTACTGTAATTCTGGCCGTGTATGATAGCCATGCAAGAAAACATTGAGACAGAGAAACAGCATTGAGCAATACTAATAGTTATTATAAGTATCTATGTTTTCTATTTCCTTAATGCTGCTATTAAACTAAATTTACAGAACAATGCTAGGATTACTCATTCAGTTATCTGATTGTTCAGCAGAAACGAAGTGCCCTAACATTGTTCCTTTGCTGTGACTGTGATTTAATCTCCTCCTCATATCTTTGCAATCCTGCTTCTGGCCGAGACTGCCAGGGGAGATTCTCTCCCAGTCCTCGTGTTTACTTATTCCCTCTATTCTCTGTAACCTGTTTCCTCAAAGCGTCTGTTAAATTGAAAGCTGAGGGGGAGCAGGTTGTGGATGTTCAGTAGATTTTAGAAGGAATAAATAGCTCCTTGACTCTTGCTAAGAGTGACTTTCCTTCTGGCATTGCTGCCTAATAGTGTCTATCCATTTGGGAGGCTCAAGTGCTTCGGACTCTCTGTTGACAATATAAAGTTGCTCTGTTCACTCTAAACATGTTCCTTCAGGCTTCTTGAGGTCGGTACAGCTTCTCAAAGGTCATCAATTCTAACTGTTAGAGGCGCTCAATATATGATCAATGCCTGATCTCTGTTAAGTCATCAGCACCGTCACCATTCACTTGCTTATTTTGATTGCTCCTTCCTGCCCCTTACAGCCCTAATTTCTGTGCCATTTTTGTCTGCTCACTGCTGCCACATCACGCTAACAGGATCCCGGCTGTGTCAAAAGTCTTTTGAAGCACATGCAGGGGAATCCCGTCTTGCTAATTAATTCAGTACAAACATTTGGAAGCTCAATTCTGCGGTAGTATGCTTTACAGCATTTCACTGTATACCTACTCTGTGTATCTGTGTGCTAATAACTGATTTCTTTTGTGTGTTTTTTTTTCAATGGTTTCTTTCACCTGGCCTCTCCTCATTCTTACTTGAGCAATTCAGAGGAACGTTTCTGAAGATACCTTCCCCTCATTTTCTCATTGTACTAAGTAGAATTATCTTTGTTCTTTCAAAGGATACAGGAATCAGCTTTTGTTCTCTTGTGCTTGGTGTGCTTTAAAGTGATTTGAGTAATAGATTCATCAGAGTAAGCTCTGATGAAAACAGCACCTGTCTGCTCTTTGTTACCACAAAAGGCATCTTACACAGAGCCAATTTGTTCGTTGGCTTAATTTAAATGCTTGCCCCAAGGCTTATTTAGAGAGCTAATAGGATCAGAGAGGACAAATTTTGTTTGCCATTACCTTGTTTTTCACTACTCCTCCAGAAGATCCCAAGGGAAGAGCAGATGTTGGATTTGTAAACAAAGGAGCGAAAGGTAACACAGAGGAAAGAAGGGAGGGGAACATGCACACCAGTGCCTGCTGGATCTCAAAGTTAAAATTAAATGTAAAGAAAATTAGGTAAATGCTATGTAGGAAGTAAAATAATTAAAAACATGGAGCAAGTTTTATATCCTCTGACTACATGGTCTTTGTCTTTCTTTTTGTGTCCCCCGTGCTCAGAAATTCCATCTCTTTCTCTCTGGGTTACAACATGGCCCAAGTTCCAGCCTCAGGAAGGAGAATTTACTGAATTTACTTTGTGTTTATTAGAAGTGCACCCATGTACCAAATGTGAATCAGCTCTGCCCAAGTAACACACACCTTTGAAGGGAGACTCTTAAATCTATATACATTACATGCACATGAAATTGTTGTAGAGTGTCTTCTCCAATGAGAACCAGGAAACTTTTTCATTTTAAATGAAGTGCTCTTAAAGGCTTGAATTCAAGAATAATATTTAAGATTCCCAGAGACACAAAGTAAAGCTTGGTTAGTGAAGCAATGGTATGAAAATAATCCTGTATGAATCGTAGAAAGTCTTACATAATTTTTATTGAGATAGTGAAGCATGTGCTTATTTCTCAGAGATCCTAGTGATTTGTATCTAAAGAGAAAGGACTGAAGTGCTACCTTTTGAAGGACTGGAATCCTTAAAATAAAATTTTACCATTTAAAAAGTAATTATCTTCAGTGTGACAGTAATCCTATTGGATCTTCTTGATATATCATTGGATATATCAATATATCCCACTGATATATCAAAAGTGAGTGGAAATTATTTTATTTAGTTTCAAAGTTAAGAATTTTAAGTCACAAATTTTAGGATCTCCGATATATGCGAATTTTTATTTTCTTTTTCTCTGAGGGCAAGGCTGTCCTTGTATCATGTGTTACCATAATTATATGTATATCGATCTGTTCGTTGAGTCTCTTCCTATTATTTTAAATGATCTTTCTCTCTCTCTCTTTCTGTGCCCCTCAAGCCTCAGCAAAGTGCTTCAGGAAACAAGGAGAGCTCTCAAGCTGAGTCAACAAAAAAAGAAAATCCACGTACCACTGCGTGTGATTCGCAAGATGTAAGACTAACGTAAAGTACTTTGAAAACAAGGGCATAAGTGATTTCACCTTTATAGTTCCTGCCACTGTGAAAGAGTCTTCTTGTGTGTAATATCCACTATCTAAGCCCTGCCATTCTAAGTGGAGGAAATGAGTATTCTTTAGGTATAAGTTAGGCATGAATTCTCTTAGGACGTATAACCACATACTCAGCAGAACTGTGAATAGGACATATTGGGGACATACATGAGTGGCCACAGGCTCAACATTGTGCTAATTTCTGTAACTACAAAACAGAAATATGTTAAAATATTAACAAGAACAAATGAAGGAAAACCTCACAAGATGAGATTCTATAGTGTTGTGTACCTAATAGAAATAAATTCAGCATTACAGTGACATCATATTTTAAATAGGGAGATACTTAGCTTTCAAATGATATTAGGCAGTATGGAACTTAAGTCTTATTTTTTTTCACTCATACTAAGTCCCATTAAATTTCAATTCTTAAAAATTTCAGTTTGATAGAGTGAAGCTTATAGACATATCGTGTCTTGATTTAAGAAGCAATAAATTACAACTGTATAGAGCAGATTCAAATTTAGGCTTCAATCCAAAATAGAAAGTGTCTGAAAAGATTGCACCCTGAAAGAAATGGGTAGTTACTACAAAGAAACAAAGTAGAACACAAAAAATATTTGACATTGCTGGTTACAAAAGGAGATTTAGAAAAATGAATTTCTCAACACTCTTGACTTCACTTCCATTGTGTAATGAAACATGTACCCAAATTAAACAATTTTTAACCTAAAATTAAGTAGAAGTGGAAGTAAAATGCTCTGCAGAATCCACCTCAGGGAAGGAAGAGTCAGAAAGTCTGTGTGTAAGAAAGAGTATTTTTACTTTAATTTGAGAGAAAGATAGATCTTTAACAATGTGAATGCATTCTAAGAAGCAAGAGAAAAATGAAGTAGTTTGGAGACTGAGCAGACTTCAGCTAGTGGTAGGATATTTATGCAAACATTAACTTGGAATTAAAAGTGAAGGATGGCTCAATGTCAAGCGAAGGCTCTGTTTTAAATTAAGGAGACAGGCCTGTACAAGCTGTTATGTCCACCTGAGTGCTGAAAGCACGGTGTTAATTTTGATGAGGGTAATTTTATTTCTTGCCTTTTCCTGAAGCTACATAAAAACATGCTGCCATTAGAAGCAAACCTGGAAAGCATCGTGTGGTTTGCTAAGGTTCCCCAAAGCATCATTCTGATCTACCTTTCACCCAGAGACTTAGGGCTATTCAAAATCAGACTCTTTGCTTGTTTCTCTCTTCTTCAAACATTAGTGTCTTTCATCTGGCCTAAGTTATTTCCCTCAACATGTCTCAGAAGCATCTGCTACCTGAAACTGGCTCTGATCTGAGATCTTTCAAAAACGTGCCTCCACCAGCTGGAACCCAAATTGTGTCCCTCTAAGGGGACCTCAGTGGACTTCAGTGTTAGGAATCTCTGCTTGCCTAAAGTTACTATTTCTAGCTCTAGTGGACTAGAGAATGCTCACTATTGGGAGATATAGACTGGCAGAGAAAAAAGTAGAAATCAGTGAAATTAACCAGCTATAACAAGTAAAAACAAATGAGACTGGTTCAAGTTTGAGACCAGTGGTTCTTATCCTTGCCTTTAGAATACTGTCACCTAGAGAGCTCTCACAAAATACTGTCACCAGCGTGTACTCCAGAAAAATTATCTCAGCACCCCAGATCGGAACGTCTCTTGTGTTCATATTTAAATTTCTCCAGATGAGTCTAAAGTGCATTGTTTTACTAACAATGGATTTCATATGCAAAGGATTTGACAACTTCAAGCTTTTGAAAGACTACTCTACATACAGAAATAAATAGAATTAAGTAGAATTTGTATTTTCTTAAAAATGAAAAGAACTACTCTATCCCAGTCCAAATAATCCTGAGACATGTAGGATGTGAATCATATATTTAAAAGCCCGGTTTTACATAAGACATAATCCCTGTAGTACACCATTCAACAATAGATTTTTTACATATATATATATGTAAAAAATACAGGAATTAAACTCAGGACCTTGCACCTACCAAGTGTGTATTGCACAGCTGAGCAATAATCCCTATTTCAAAGGTGGTAACTTCAAAGTAAAATTCTGATAAACGTAGTGATAACTCAGGTGGTACAAATGTGATCAATGTACAGAAACTCTATATTAGAATGCTCAATTTATTGTGGAATAACACATAATAAGCATATATGCATGCATTTACATATAACTATATGAGACATATGATATATGTGAGTGTCTGCATGTATTTGTGCTGATATAGGGCTGTGATATTGTTCAAGAAGCTGGTTTGTGATTTCATTCATTGTTAAACTTCCTAGAGAAAGCTAGCAAACTATGATCATTCAAAATCTACAGCACAGCAAATGAGTAATCCTAAGAACTGGGCACTCCATAGTTCCTTCACTCTACTCCTGAGTCATAAGAGGCTAATTTTACTGCTTTCTTTCACTTAGAGCAAGCAAGTAGAAACACCTTTGTATCTATGAGAGCTATTGTTCTTGGATTTGTCAAACTTTAGATCAAATATTCTGACTAGTGTAATTACAGTGAATTTCAATATAACAATATAAAAATACTTTCAATCTGTTTGTATATCAAGCCAGAATTGCAATTCCAATTTGATTTATTTTACTGAATGTCAAAACTGACTGAGAGGGCCGGGGATATAGCTCAGCTGCACAAGCACCTCGCTGGCAAATGCAATGTCCTGAGTTCGATTCCCAGTACAAAAAAGAAAAAAAAAATAAACTGACCGAGAAAGTTGCATAACTACATATATAAAGAATAGAGTTTATTTTCAATATGTACATTCTATATATTCTTGTACCTATTATGAATTATAGAAATATATTTTTGTGACTTACCTTCAACTAGAAATTAAATCAGTGCTAGTAAGATTTATACAGGGAAATCAAGTGGATGATAAAGTAACTAAATATTACTGATTGCTTAGTCTTCTGGGAAGCAGCCATTACTTTTTAAGACAGAGCTAGATACAGCTGATGAAAACAGGTAAAAAATATTTCGGTCAAATATAAAAATGAATTTTTTGAAAAGTATCTGAAAGAGAATAAGCAACTGGAGGACATAGTGTATGTTCCATTAATGAAAAACAGCTCTTCAGAAAAGGGTCAGAAAATAAAGCATTAGGATAAAAGAAAACAACAAACATCTTAGATTTTAGGATGATAAGAAAAGCAGAAAACATACATAATCTCCCACTAAATATGCAGTGAAAGTTATGCATTTTGATTCTTATTGGTCATGTCTGAGACCAAATAACACAACAAAGTGTGAAAGTTACATAAAAAAGTAGATTTGAATACTAATTTTGCTATTTTTCAACACTGCCACTCTGGCAAGTGCTTCAATTATTCAGATTTCTTATCAAAGTAAAGTAGCTCAGTGGTTTTCAAGCTTCATTTTGACTAAGCATCACCAACAGCCGGTACAAATGCTTATGTGCACGTTCCCCTAGAAAGCCTGTTTAATCCGTATGTCTGGGATAGAATGCAGGAATGTGAGTGTTGTCAATAAGAAAACCTCCCAGATTTCCCTCATCAACATTTCATGATAAACATTCTGAGAAACTTTGATGCTCATATCTTGTAAATTTTTTGATTACATCTACCAGATATGCTAAATTCACCCAAATCTTAGGTTTGCATAGTAGTTCTTTTTTCTTTCTTTCCACAAAGCTGTTATGCAGTTTCAGTATTCAAAGTTTCACTATGTTCTGTGGCCGAAGATCCAAAGTTGGAAGGAGAGACCACACATATCCTGGGTTTGATGTACTGCCTACCTATCTCCCATGTGGGCCAGGCAAGGGTTCTGGATCCTAAAACCAGTTTTTCACTAGACTTAGAAACCTTGCTGTGTCACTAAAGGCTTTACATCATATTGAACTATCAGTTTAAGTCATTTCAGAAGCAGCTTTGCTTTAACAATAACAATGACTCACACCGAAAAAGCAAAGCATGCACCACTTCCATTCCATTTTCCTGTCGCTTGCAAATATGCCCCACTTTGTTTAACAGTATTTTGAGAATTAAAGGCATTGAGCATTTTATTTTAGTTCTCACTTAGAAACTAAGAAGTGATGCTCAGTGTAACTATGTTTTGCCCTGTTGTTGATTCCTATGAGTAGAAAACATTTAATTTTTCTGAATGTGCTGAAGAGACCAGAGGTAACCCTGGCTAATGAGCAGCCTTGGGAGCATTTTCTCAGGTTCTCGTCCTTTTCTCTGCAGGGGAGTTTCTGAGCCAGGAATGTTTTAAACACCAAAGTGTGAAGTGTAGGGTAGGGAAACAAGAAAGCGGAGATGGGCAGAACATCAGTCACAAGGCTGCAGGTTGAAAATTATGCCAGCTTTCCCATCAGACTTTGCTGTTCCACTCAGCACTCACTGTGTGACCTGTGATCACCAGCCTGAGGGGTTGGCCGACCCGGAGTTCACATAGTCTGCAGAGGAGCAGCAGTGCACCTGGGGCCATCTGAAGAGGTGGCTTCCCACAGAATTCTCTACTGTGCTACTGTGGCACTTTTCAAAGGAGTAGTTATGGCCCCAGATGTTGAAAGAATGGCAGACGGTTTTTAAAATCTTCAGAAAAGTTCTCTTTTCCCCACTAAATATAAATCTCTGTGTTTGTCTTCTTATAACACCTTATCCAAGCCAAGTAGTGATGTTAACTGCAGTTTCTTTTCAGAAACTTATAGAAATCTTAAGAATAATAGTCTGTTAATTCAGTAAATCAAAAGCTGACTAGTATATAAATATATATTGTAATAATATTGTTCTATTAAGAAGATCCAGAGATAACACTTAATCTGATATGTGATACTTTTGCCTCTACTATTTCCTTAAAAAACAGGTAATGACTTTTTTTTCTGGATTTCTGATAGTGTTTGGTTTATATATGTACTATTTTCATC